TCCTCGAGACCTTCTTCTGTGAGGATTGGTAAACTGCAAGACTCATCGACACAAATATAAATTGCAGGTGTTCTATCCTTCGTCATGTCTGAGAAAACCGGAGAGTTATCGAGAAGCGCAGATGTCTCTGAAAATTTTATATCCATGATTACACTTTCTATCACCAACCATCAATGTGAATGACTGAGGCATTCCAAATGTAGTAAGAATTGACAATTCGTCGGAAGTTGGTTACTGTGGAATCATTCTTTGGTCCAGATATAACAATCTCAATGAGTATGCTGATATAAATATTAATTCATGAGATGATTTACTTTTGTTGCTTGTTTCAAGCGAAGGAGTGGAATCAGGAAAGTAGGGCTAACGAGAGGCTCACTGAAAGAAAGTAGTAATAGTAATACTAGTACAACCACTGCCGGTGTATAATAAACGCAAAATATGAGAACTTCTTACATTGCGAGGATTTTACCTACTCCTCGGAATATCTTCTCGGCATATTCTTTTAATATGTCATCACTATAAATGCAGGAGAGCCGGAGAAGGTTTGAAGCTGCTATAGCAGAAGGAGCTGGTTCAACTCCATCGCCTTCTGAATCGGAAAAAAGTTTGCTGAACTTCTATCAAAACGAACCTGATCGTAATCCATTTTTCAGAGCAGAATCTTCACACATGAAAAAGCCATACTCATTTTCTGTTTCATCCCATAACTTCTCTATCTATAACGGCATATAAGAACTGGGATAGCAATGTCCCAGCTACCATAAGGTGTTGCAATTTCTTCGCTCTCAGTAGTAGATCTTCGTTTCCACTCACAGAGTATAAATCCAGAAGTCCTTGTATGTAATAAGCATAATCTTGGGAAAACCCTATGACATCACCAGTTCTATTAGAAACTTCTTCATTTTCGTTTTCTGCGTTCGACTCACGAGAACTCGATTGTGTTATCCTCAGTTTTGAAAACACAATGTCTCAGACCACCTTCTTCGATTTCCAAATATTTTTTACAGAATTCAGCACAATTCTCAGCTAACTTTAAGGTCTTCTCACAGTTTAAAGCTTGGTAAGCCTTCAAAACAAAGTTATCGTTTCATCACATTTGGTCCTACTTTAGCCAATCCAGACAGCACATGGCCTTGATAGTCCGTGAGTATCTTTGAGTCAACAAACGGATGAGGTCTGGAACATCGAACTTTCGACAAGATATTCTAAAACAAGAGTTATGAAAATAGTTGAACTTAATACCACCTTAAGCGATTTGATTGTGTCATCAAGCTCAATCGAGCTCACTCCGAGCTCTGAAGCAATAAGATCATGAGGCTTGCTCATATAAAGAACGTTTTTACGATACAAATCGTGGGTTATGTCCTGTAAGTTTGACAGTCACGGCATATCTAATTCAGTAATAAAATACTTGAGTGTGCGCAGCGTTCCCGTCTTCGCTAATGTTATAGTATACAGTAAATAACTCTGCAGCAGATAAGCCACCTATCCCATTGCTATTTTTCAGTGCTTCCGCAACCTGATTAGAACTGGTACCGTTATACTTCTCGAGCTTACCTCTGAATAATCCCACACATAGAACGCTCCCTCCACTTCTTTTCCAGAGCCAACGCTCGCATGAGATACAGCGTCTTCGGCTGTGTAGAAACCCCCTTCCTTAAAGAACTCAAATTAAAATAATAAGATATGACTGACTGTGTGTTTCAACCGAGAACTTAAATACGACACTACTTCTTCCAAAATGAAGTTGTATCGTCCATGAGCCATCAAGGAGAACTCAGCGAAAACTGTCAGAAGCTGGCCTTGATCGTATAACATTTTCTCAAAGTGAGGAACTATCCATTTGTGATCAACAGTGTATCTATGAAAACCCTAATGGAAAATTAAAGTTCTTACAAAGGAAGAACAAACTCCTTCCATGTGATCTCGTATTCCACCTAACGACAACGCTTTCAAAGTTCTATCAACCATCGTAACAAGTGTAGTTTTCAACTCGGACTCTTTCGGACCTATTCTTCCAATCAGAACATTGAAAAGAGCCAGAATTGCTGAAAAATCATGCTGCCGATTCCAAACGATAACACACTTACGAGCTCTCGAGAATTTCGAGTGTGATTTCAACCCGCCGAACTCATGATCGAACTGATCCTCATATTTCTCCACTGTTTTTGTAACTAATTCTTCGTTGTTAGGAATATTCGCATCTTTACAATGAATATGAACAGGAACTGTAAAAAAGTATTACTTTAAACTCAAACAGTTTTGTAACAACCCATAGAATCCCTCATGGATTTCCATTGCGATCGAAGAAGAGTTGGCTCTTCTGACCACTGGAACATTCAACTCTTAAAAAAAAAACAGTTGTTCGTACTGTGTCAGCTATGAGTTTCAAGAGAGCTGCGAAGCCCATTCTACCATCCTGCGAAAAAGGCGGAAAGTAAGAGCCTCCCATGAATGGAACCGCATGATAGTCCATGAAAACACTCATAGGCCAACCAGCAGAATTAGAAATATTCTATGATATGAATTACAACGGTTCTAACTTTAAGTAAGTACCCTGACAAAATTCATGTAATAGGTATCAACATCTGGCCTTTCTTCTCTGTCAACATGAAAAGAAAAGAATAACAAGTCTGCTCTGAAGGCTCAATAGTACCAAAATGCTTACAAAATTGTCATTCATGAACTTTGATATCAACTCGTTTTCGAAAGATTCCCTCTCCATCACGTAACACCAATGACATGTTGAGTACCCAACTAAGCATTTTTTTTCAATTTAAATTATTAAATAATGTAACCCGAAAGAAAAATAGGACGATTCAGCGATTTTGCGAGCCTGAAGGCATCCTCACCCCAAGGTTTCCTGAATATAATTGTAAGTGGGAAAATACTTATAAGTGAAACCAATCCACTAAGTTGTTTTTGTGTCGAAGTAGGTAAGGAGATTTTTCGTGAGCCAAAGCGTTCGTAAAAGAAGATGACATTCTCTTGAAAACACCGTCTCAAAATAAATATTAATTCACTATATAATCTTAGCATTCTTACTAAAAAAGTTTCCTGTAAAAAAATAACGGCTCATATAATAAACCAGTTTAGTGTCCTAGTGTTAGGCTCACCTAAAATTTATTGACAAAACATTGTTAACTTATGAAGATCATTGTGGAGAAGAAACACAAGAGAATTAATGAAATAAATTCGGATTTAAACCAGAATAAAGTATATATGCTATTCGTCCAAAGGAGACTTCTCCGGTGGTACACCACAAGGCTGTATCATTCTGTTGATGAGATTGAATCTTGTTCTGGCAATTGACTCGTTTTCAATGATGGAAACGAAGGAGCACATTCCTGGATGGCTCAAATGTGAAGCACGAGTGTCCCGATGTTGATTAGTTAGCCATTCATAACGATTGAAATCAGCATGCCCACATCCAGTAAACTTCGATTGAAGATGCTCCAATTGGGCCAGAACATGAAAACGTTCACCTGGGCCTGCCATTTCCCTGGAAAACAAATAATAGTGGGAATTGAAAATATAATCAAGAGCTGAACAGATATAAATGAGAAACATGAAAAACTATTTTTACTCGAAAACGCCAAAATTTGTGATACTAGGCGTTTTATAGAAAATGCCTCTGAACCTTTTTCATCCGACGCGCTACGTATTACGCAGAGATGCTCACCAGTTTCCCCCAGATACAAGAGATGCTTGGTCGTTATATTCGAAATACATAAGAGTGTATTACCACAACTTCTACCATCATTTGATCTGTTTCACTCTCAAACGTTTTGCTTATTGTTCACATCATCGTTAAAGTTTTTTGCAACTCATATGCTTCTTATCCTCCGTAACACGCCTGATTAATTTACCGATTGCATTAGCATTGAAGGTCTACTTACAGAATAAGCATGGGAGATTCAAATGGGATACTTCCCTCATCAGATGATGGAGAATTAACTGATGAAAGTGGTACTGATCGTCGTTCTCGTGGTTTGTTTTACAACAACAGAGAACCTATTTGATCTCTAACTTTTTTAAGTCAAAAACTCATGTAAGCCTTTTGCTCATTCAAGTGATGACGATGAACAAGAAATGTTTACAATGCAGCCTGGTGATTTTGTAAGCTTCATCTGAGTTTGTTCGTATTCATAGCACTCGTTTAGAATACTTCCCGCTTAGCTCATCGTCTTGAAAAATCTGATAGAACCAGAACAGAAAAAGACAAAAAAGATCGTGATCACAAAGATCGTCATGAGCGTCATCAGAAACATAAGCATGGTATTGATATTTGAAAATGAGAGTAAGATAATTCGAAGTTTAGAGCGTAGGATCCGTGATAGAGATCATCACAGCGAAAAGCATGACAGAGACAGAAGCGAAAGACTGAAATATGATGAACGGGAAAATAGAGATAGAGAACGTCATGATGAGCACAGGCATAAATCCAAAACTGAAGTGATATTAAAAAACAAACTTTCGATGACAGAAATATTATAGGAGAAAAAGATAAAACCATCTCCACATAAACATGACCGCACGGAAAAGCTAAAACTTGATAAACTCCGGGATACAGATAGAGATAAAAATCGAGAGGATGGTCATCGAGAAAGATCTGCTCGAAAACAAGGAAGATCTTCAACGTGAGAATAGAGCTTTTGATTGTTAAATAACTTTTTTAAGAGGCTCATCGTCTCCTGAAACTGATCGTAAAAGAGACAAAAAAACCCAGATAGAAACTATGGAAGAAACAAAGATTGATTGTATGTACTTCGAAATGCATTATATCCATAACAATTTCAATTCAGTGAAAATGAACAGATCTGATAATGTGAAATCTGCACCTCCAAGCGAGGCATCCATTGAGCAAGATGATGAAGGTAGCGGGATGGAGGAACAAACGAATGCCGTCGATCAACTTCAAGCTGATTTTGAAGAATCCGATGAGGAGGAGAATAAAATGGGTATGCTCTGATCTATGTGGTTTAACCTGTCTTTAAGAAATAACATCTTTTGTACTTGACAGTGT